TTAAATTGATTCCACTTGAGATAACAGACGAGACACATGATTTATATTATGCCGAGGTAAACCATTTACTTATGCGTTATGTTATTGAATAGTATAGTTATTGAATAGTATAATTATTGACTTGTTATCTCCACTAGTTATGTGATGAGCATCCAGATATTCTTACCACAGATGTTTGGGTAACCATCGGATTCACATATGATGAAATTATGAAATTAAACAAGTGTATTGTCTCATAAAAGTTGACGATGGATTATGTTTGGCATGTACGGAACGATTAGAACCTAAGATAAATTTATTTTGTTGCTGGTGTAAAGTACTAAGACATGTCGATTGGACTACTGGCAACAAGTCACTGGATTCATTTATTATGGAATCGTGGAGTAATATGAAGATTAAGTATGATGCATATATACAATGGATAGAGTATTCCCTATTTACAGACGTACGAGAAATGATATCATTACGCTATGGATGCACACATATAGCAGAATATTTAGAATTGACAACAAATGAATTAACACGTGTGACACTCAAAAAGATAGTTGATGAAGGGAATGATCAATTTTATCAGGTAAATTGTAAAATGCAAATAATAATAATATTGTTAACGTGTGTATCGCACATTTAACTGTATTTGTTTACTCAAATAGCTGACTAAGGAATACCCAGAGATATTAACACCCGAGAATATTTGGATAATTGGGATCACGCAGGAGCCATCTACTCGGGAATATTATTTAGTTTTCTATCATGATGTACATGCACTACTGGACAAGTTCATACAAATTAATGAAGATGTTAAGTATATTCAGTATAGCGACTTTTACGAACTCAAAGAGATCGGATCTGGTGGTTATGGAACAGTTTATACTGCTGAATATAAAAAGTATTCAGAAGTATGGTCTATGCAAGAAACTGTTGTACTCAAACGGTTTAAGAGTTTTGATGAAATGCCAGAATTATTTATTTCTGAGGTAGGCAATCATTGGTAGTATTAATTAAAGTGATATTTAATCTGACTCTGTATTATTTTATTTATTAGTTCAGAAATCATGCAAAGTGTGCAAGTGTAAGTGGTACTTATTTTCCATTCCTTAATATTTATGGAGTGACACAAGACCCAGAAACAAAAGAGTACATGATTGTTATGCAACATGCTAACAATGGTAGTCTTTTGTCTTATTTGGATCAAAATATTAACAAATTGACGTGGAAGATGAAATTACAGCATTTGAAGAGTATTGCACTTTATCTGCATGCTATCCATGATATGGGATTAGTGCATTGTGATCTTCATGGCGGAAACATAGTTTTATATTATGATATGCCACGTATATGCGATTTTGGTCTCTCACGATCAGTGAATTCACGTCAGTCAAATTCTGCTCTCTCTCTCTCTCTCTGTTCTTAATTCTTGTAATGATAATTCATTCTTATTAGTTCTAGTTAAATAATTACTTATTTGCTCTTGTTGCTTTGGGGTTAAAGTGCTGTTAGTTGGATTATTGTCGTTAAACTCGATTACTAACTTATTATCTACCATTTTAACAAGACTGATATTAAATTGAGTAAATCAATTTTCCAATTGGTCTAATAATTGAATGGTATTTGTTGGCTCATTTGGATTATTAGAAGGTTGGTTAGGTTGGTCGTTATTATTGGGTTGCTCTTCTCCTTCTTTCTTGTGTTCTTCATCTCCTCAATCGTTTTTCTGAAAAGAACAATTTGCTCCGTGTTCTTGGCATATTCCAGTAGTTTTAAACTCCATAAGAGGTTTGGTTCCAATTAATTTTTTATTTTGGTCGTAATAACTCTTTTCAGAGCCTACGGGCGAAGGTTCAGAATGTTTACAATATTTCGCTTCATTCTTACATTTCAATTTCACTTTTTCTCATGGTTCGGCTTCTAGTTCTATTCAAGCATCTGAGGCGTTTATTCTTTATTGCACCAGAAGTCTTCGATACCTGCAAATTTACTCAGAGATCAGATGTATATTCTTTTGGTATCATTATGTATTTGATCGCTACTGGTGAACCACTATTTAGAGATAGGCAGTTCGATAGATATTTAGTATGCGATATTATGGGCGGACTACGACCATCGATGCCCGATTCCGCACCAGAGGAATACAAGAAACTTGCCGAGCGGTGTTGTGATGCTGATCCTGATAAGCGTCCAAATATATGGACACTTGAGCGTGATATTAAGAAGCTTATTTATAAGGTGAAAAACGACAATTCTGACATATGGAATGCCGTTTATCATAATGATGTAAAACCGTTATCACGCCTCGAGAAGGAGAGTAAATATTCTAGTACACTCTTACCTGCGGGAGATCTACCTAAACCAAGAAATAGCTATGATATGGATTCAGCTGCAGGTATGAAGACAGGGATTGCATAAGTGCTGATATTGAACCAAGTCAGTTTACACACAGTATATTAATATTGTCACTATTTTCTAATTTAGTGACTCAAACATTTTAATGAAAACGGTTATTTATAGCTTATACGAACCTATGTATGTCAATCTGAGTGGTGTCAATAGAGAGTAATTAGTGCACGACGTTGATGTGATTTGCGTGGCGTGGGTGTCGATTTTAAACTAAAGGGCAAGTAGCAAATAGTTATCGTAAAGAGTTAATTTATTTTATAGATGTCATATAATACCTTTACAAAATTGTAGTGATTATATTTATTGTAAATTATTCGTCGTAAACTATTAACCCGAACCTGGTTGTTTAACAGTTAACAAATAGCCTTACCCACGTCTTTGTAAGCATTGTTTGTGTACTAAAATAGTATTGTATTCTTACTAACGGGTTTATTATGAGTTTTACGAAAGTCGCTTGACTCAAACTGCTAAAAAATAATTTGATGAGACTTGAAGTATTGGACTCGATTTCGATAACGTATGTTAATGATTACTTGTATAATTACTAGCAAACATTATCGGTTAATGGTATTAGTATAAATAAAATTTAATTCTCAGCTAATGAATGCCTCTTGTGGTTTCTTTTCTGCCTCCTTCAGATTCTCCTGCGTACTGTTCAGCGCTTCAATTTTTTTTCGTTTTCGATAGAAAGATGTGCTGCGCGATTAAAATATTATACTTCAGAATTCTATTTACTAATCGGAGAGAATTAACTTTATAGCAGAACCACTAACTAATAATGTTTATTCATTATGCGATAGATTTCCTCAATTACTGACAACTTAAATAACAATATCGAAGAATATTTATTTAACTGATTCAATCAGTATTATATCTGTGAGCTACGTCATTGGACAATTTATCATCATACGCTCGAATGTTATCTTTTTGCTAATGTTGTGAATATAATTGCGCGAAAAGATGTGCGTTAAATTATTGGCCGTCGATTTATGATTATCGAACGCGACTTTGTTTGTTAGGTATAGATCTAATCATACGATTATTTGCAGGAATCATTGGATATTTAGCAGTTTACGGTTGATACTAAAGGTACGTACGTAGTCAATATGTGTGGATCTAATCGTACGATGATTTTGCATTGAAATTATTGGTACAGTTTTAGCATTATAGTTAGAATGTATTTTGATGTTTGTATTTTTGATGTTTGTATTTTTTATGTTTGCATTTGATGTTTGCATTTCGTTGTTTGAATTTTGGATTCATGGTTTGCATTGAAATTATTGGCATTACGGTTGGACTTGTAAATATAGACTATTTTGATCTAACCGCATGGTGATTTGCATTGAAATTATTGGTACAAGTTTTAGCAATACGGTTAGCGTTGTTTACAACGCGGCGTTATATACTATTCTATAAAAAGCTCGTGTGTTCTGTACATTTTGGCTAAGCCCCTGTTAAACTGGGGTAAGGAACTTTTTATTCACATGGCTATGCCAATCATCAATTTTTTTGCTGCAACGTGCAGCAGATCTGCTCTCGATATAAGAAAGTGATCGGGGCCCAACAAATTCCTTTCTTATATCGAAAATCTCTTATATAACGGGAGTCATTTGTTACAAGACTTTAAATCGGGTCCAGCAAAAATACTTTCTTATATCAAAATTTTCTTATATCGAAGGGTTCTTATATCGAGAGCCACTTGTAATTAGTTTTTCCAGTGCAAAAGCTGCTTGGTCTGAGTAGTAGATACAACATCGATGAACATTTTAGCCTGCTAATTCCTGCGCCTGCTTGCCTCCTGATAATATCCCAGCAAAAGCTGATGACATTGTACACTGGTTTGAAGATACGTATGTACATGATTATACAGTACGATATCTGCCTTTATTTCCACCTGCCTTTTGGTCCATTGCTGACAACATGGAGTATGCCTTGCTGAGAATGCAAAATTCAGTAGAAGCCTGGCATCAAAGATGGGATACCTTGGTATAGGTGTGGTGTCTTTAAAATTATCAAACACATACAGACAGAAAGAACAAAGCCTAGTTACATTGAACATAGAAGCAAACTTACGAGGAGCACAACAGCCTCCACAGACACGATCTAATCACGTGATGTCAGTGTAAAAAACTTGCTTTATCAGATGGTCAACAAAGTCGACAAGTCGTTGCTCGTGAAACGAGGATACAAACAGTTTTTAATAACCGCGATCAGATGCCACTTATGGACTTTCTTCGGGGAATTGCACATAATATTTAGCTTTAATAATAAATTAATAAATATACCTCTGTTCTGCAACTGAAAATTTTTTTGTAATTTATCAATCATACATCCATATGCAATTAATTACATTAGCTAGTTAACGTGTTAAATTTATGATAACTATAAAGTATCCATTCAAATTAGTTGTTCAGTCGTAAAAATTACATTTACTTATAGTAAATTCAGTTCGCTGTTTGAAACTGAAATATTTGTTGATTAAACGGGTTGCAATCAAGGCGTACAGTATATATGTTTTGCATACATGCTCTTCCGATTGGCATCAAACTCATTGCCAGTTTCATAACTTTAGACAATCGGTCTCAATATTTACTTTATATTTATACAGTCGAAGCTCGTTATAACAGATACACGTTACAATGGGATCGCATTACAAGAGAAATTTTTTTGGAACACAATTTTCTTATATTAAAAATTGCTTGTTATCTTGTTATAATGGATTCTCATAGTAAAATCGCGTTATTAGCTATAATGGAATCAGTCTATATCACAGTCAGTTGCACTATAATGGAAATATGGGACGAGAGGGTCAAACTCAATATGATTATTGCGTATAAAACTGATATTAATATTTAAGCACTTGGCTCATACGAAATGCCTAGCAATATGATTATTAAAAGAATATCTTTAACAAATGCACAGAAACGTCAACTATGTCTTGACAAGGAGAATCAACGAATGGTGAACTTGCGTCGAAGTACGGAATCAAGGAAAAAGCCATCTCTGCAGTCTTAATGGCAAAAGAAAAGTGGCTTGCAACAAATTCTAATGAATATACTGCTCAGTTAAAGCGTAATCACCCCCTCAAAATACGAGAATAACGTGCCTTGTGGAGTTGGGTCAAAGGTGTGTTATTCTCCAGTCTTGATATCACTGGTGCTGTGATCTATATGACATATATCATGTAATGATTGATGAGATTGCGAATATGCTGACGACATTTATTACAAGTCATTAAACTTATAGCATAATTGTATAAAATAAATTTCGTGCTATAATGGAATTGCACATGCAATCATTAGAAGTCCATTATGACAAACCATACACATTATTATGGACTCATGTGTTCATGGGCTATGCCCAACTTTCTATTATAACGAGCTTCGACTGTAATAAATAATGCACTCTATATTTTCTTACATATTCAAATGATCTACCCCGCAGACAGTAAATGTGCACGATTTTATTTCGGGATCCTGTTAACTCAATTGTATTGACATACATGTAAGCACATTGCATAATTTGAAGAGGAGCAAGCATTTGAATAAACTCATATAAACTGTAAATAGCCCGTGAATTACAAGTTTATTCTAATAGAGTTTGAGTCTCTAAATTATAAGAAATGAAGGGTGTTAACATTGTAAATTGACTTTTTTTTGTATCAACATATAACCATACCTGCAGCTGAATCCAAATCATAGCTGTTTAGGCAATTCTCTAGTAGGTAAGAGATTGCTAAAATATTTACTCTCCTTCTCTAGATGCGTACCTTGTTATGACAAATGATATTCCACATGTTGTCATCTGAATTATCCGCGTTCACCTCGCCATAAAGCTTGTCAATATAATTAGCCAGTGCCCATCCATTTTCAAATCGCTTGTCAGGATCTGCATCACAACACTGCTCGGCAAGTTTCTTGTATTCATCTGGTGCAGAATCAGGCATTGATGGTCGTAGTCCACCCATAATGTCACATATTAAATCTCCATCAAACTGCCTATCTCTAAAAGGTGGTTCACCAGAGGCAATCAAATACATAATAATACCAAATGCATATATGTCTGATTTCTGAGTAAATTTGCGGGTATGGAAGACTTCTGGTGCAGTAGAGGATAAAGCACCTTGAATGGTTGAATTTGATTCATGCAAATTCACTGATCGTGAGAGACCAAGATTGCATATGTATGGTTCACTTACTTGGAACACTTTTTCTGTTGCATCATTGCCATTCCCCCCATTCAGAACAATGTTTCTGCCATGAAGATCACAATGTACAAATCCTGCATCATGGATAGTATGCAGATCATATGCAATAAAATGTAAACACTGTAATTTCATCATCCATGTCAATTTGTTAATATTTTGATCCAAATAAGACAAAAGATTACCATTGTCAGCATATTGCATAACAATTATGTACTCTTTTGTTTCTGGGTTTTGTGTGAATCCATAAATTTGAAAGAAATCATCAGCCCCCATGCACTTGGCATGATTTCTGAACTATTAAATAAAAATAAATACAGCATCAAATTAAATATCATTTTAATATTAAGATTAAAGGTTGCTTACCTCAGAAATAAATAATTCTGGCATTCCATCAAAACTCTTAAACCATTTGAGTACAACTGCTTCTAAATATAAATAGTTTCTATATTTGGCTGTATAGACTGTTGCATAACATCCAGATCCAATTTCCTTAATTTCACTAAAGTCAGTATATGACATATACATGACACGTGAATTAGTTTGTACAAATTTGTCCAATGCTACATGCATGTGGTAAAACACTAAATAGTATTCATGAGAAGATGGCTCTTGAGTGATCCCAGCTATCCAGATATTATCCTGAGTCAATATTTCAGGGTATTCCTTGGTTAGCTGTTTGAGTAAATAAATACAGTCATTACAACAATAATCAATATTAAACACACTCAATTGCATATAATTTACCTGATGAAAATCAAATAATGGATCATTTTGTTTGTCAGCTATCTTTTTGAGTGTCACATGTGTCAATCCATCTGTTGTTGATCCTAACCAATTTGCTATATGAGTGCATCTATGGGGTAATGATGTCATCTCTTGTATGTTTAATAATTGAGAGTATTCAATCCAATGTATATACATTTCATCTATATTACTACTCCATGACTCCATAATAAATGAATTCAATGACTTGTTGCCTGTAGTCCAATTGAGAGGTCTTGGTGCTCTACAGTAATAACAGAATATACTTATGCTAGATTCAAACATTGCTGTACATGCCAGACATAATCCATCTGTATGGTTAACTTTTAGTAGACAATACTTTTGTTTGCTTGTATCATATGTAAATCCAATGGTTATCAATACATTATTAGCTGGATGTTCATCACGTAACTAGTGGACATGTACATAATAGTTAGCAATTATTTAAGCAATTCAATAAACATGATAAATAAATGGTTTACCTTGTCATAATATAAATCATCTGTCTCATCAGTTATCTCAAGCGGAGTCATTAAACAATCATCATCAGTAATAAGTAGACCACGTAAGTATACATCAAATCCCCTATCAATAATGCAATTGGATGGAATCCATTCCAAATAGGCTTGATTTGCTGAGGTTGTTTGTAATTGAGATTTCTTAATAAACTCATCGAGTTGTTTATTGTTGCTAGTCCATCCATTGGATAATTGTTTATGTCCACAAATGCACCACACGGGACTACATCGAAGTATTCCACATGCGGAGCAGAACCCATATTGAGAATAATAATTGTAAAAGAGTTCACCAGCAACCATGTAATAACTACCGTCATACTCGGTAAATCCATAGATTTGTGCGTTGCGCCTTCCAAGCAATACGGAATGTCTTCTGAACTGATTAATATCATTGTTGTACTTGTGTGTTGGAAGTGAGTATATTCTGGCAAACTCACTCACAAATTTTGGTGTACATATTTCATCGCTTCCAAGCAACACCAACGTTATCGAATATGCTTGCTTGCGAATAGCGCAGTAGACGTTGTCAATTTGAGTTGGCTCTATGTCGATAATTTGCGAGCGAGGAATCCATTCAAGTTCATCTTCACTTTCCAAGGAGGATTGGACCAAGTTGTCAATTGCTGGATTATTAACAACCCCTGATGCTAACGACATAGTTTGAATTAAAAAAATTTTATTTTTTTCAAGTGCGCAATGTCACTTGTGTTATATGTGTGTTACATGTGTGTTACATGTGTGTTACATGTGTGTTACATGGGTCTGGTTCATTTCACCGACAATCATTACATAAATGTAATGTACTGTCAACAACCTAATCAAGATAATGTTTATTGTGGGATAACTATAGTCCGATTAGACTATTATTACCCCCCTTAGTCCGGATTATAACTATCCCAATGACAATGAGATTACATTTGCATCGTCATTCAAGTAAAGCTAAAGCTCATACCCAACAACTCCAATTCCATATATCACCCAATCGCCTATTTATTGAATCATCAAAGTGTTAGCATGATAGACTGTTTTCACTGTTACAATATCGAGCAAACTGACAAAATTACCAACCATCGTCTCCTTCAACTCCACGATGATTTCACATTTGCGTCAATTTAAAATTAATTATTTCAGCTTCCTGGCCAATTTCTGTATAATAATAACACAGAATGTTTGATATCTAAAACATTAAGCCATAGCATATTTTTGGTTATTTTATATCAATACATACCAAAGAACCGATAGGTTTATCTGTTATTTTGGTATACGACAAATTAATGGCGAATTGCAATTCCAGTTTTATGGTTATTCCGGTGTTTGACAAATTGAGTAATGCTTTTGCGCCTAATATATATTTTTTTGTAATATTCTACCTTGATATACTGTTAATTACGTATCCAAAATAAATTCATTGTCGCTAAAGAAACCAACCAATTCATACAGTGGCTATCAAAAGTCCCCGGCACGCTTAAAATTTACTAGTAAAATATATGGAATATCTTTCTTTTCAAAAATCTCTCCGACACATGTGTACTATACGAAGGATAGTTGTGCTTTTCCAAAAACTATACAAAAAAATTTTATATGTTATCGTTATAAATCAGTAGCTTGACGAAGTGTGCGTATACGTGCTATACATAGATTTTCATATCGTGATTTAAAGACAGCTACTTCAATTTGATCATATTGTCCAACTTAATCTACCTCTCGGATCATCGTTCCTCCTTAACTATCGCTTTTGACATCTGCCCGTCCGTCGGCCCACCATTACTCTAACGATCGCTCTTGACCAAAACATCCAGGCAAGCAGTTATTTTCTTTCAATCAACAGATTCACATAAATTCTTTTGTTGTTTTTACTATATGTTCGTTCTTGACTATTCACTCTAACTTCTTTTTCATTGAATATCCACTCACCGGACTTTTCATTCTTCTCTCCCTCACCTCTAGCTGCTGGTGAGTAATATTTTCCTTTATGCTTTCGTGTTCGTGGGAGCAATGGTGGGAAAATGGTTTGAATGCTGTTGCATGCATAGAGTAATCTACTCACTGCTATTTCGTCATTATCATCATCATCCCTTTCGCCTCGCCAAGGTAAATATCACTGGTATTGTTTGTCACTTTTCATGTATATCATCACATCCATATTTATCACTCGTTCCATTTATCCACCCTACCCTTCCTAACTGGAACAATCCTATTTCCTTATATGAATGGATAAAGGCGCTTTCAATGCGCCAAATTGGCAGTATAGATTGAGTATGTTTTTTAGCTTTGTCGATTATCAATTATGTACTAGTTTTCTTTAGTTCCGAATAATTGCCAATATTTTTCTTTCCTTTTTTATTTATTTAAAGCTCGTCGATACCTTTGGCAAGGACTTTGAACTTTATGAACGAGAAATCACTATTAAAACACTAATGGAATGGGGATCGTAATTTTAATGGAATCAAAAAGCGATTTAATACCAACAGCAGGAACAAGAATGAGCATGCTATCCCTGTCTTGGCTGGCGGACCTGGGACTGGAAAGAGTAGATTTCTTGATGAAATTCAGAACCTACTAAATGAATACGCTCATACTTCTAATGATCAAAAAGTCATCAATGCTTTCAAGAATATGATTGTTGTCAATGTTACGTACGGGAATGGAACCCCTGCTTCGAATGCGGATAAAATATTGGGCAGTGAAAGCATCACTTGCAATGCGCCTTCTTTTTGCGTACTTCCATCCTACATCCAATTTATCTCATTATGTCAGCAGGGCAGCCCAGACCCAGACTCTCCACTGCCATGCAGGTTATCCGGCAGCACGTATCCATGAATCTTGATGATAGAGTCGCTCTGATTGTTGGCATCGATGAATTTAATAAGTTGCACGACATAGATCAGTCAACCTCGAGGAGCCTTATAACCAGTATTGGAGGACAAATGTGTAAAGCGCCTAAAGGCTTTTTTTTTTGTTCCCATTGTTTCCAGTGCTATTGAAGGACTTATATATGTGTATCCACGGATTTTCCTCCCATTGCCCATCAAAATTAGCCGTGCAATCGTTTGCGATGATGATTACATTACTTACGACCATTATTTCTGGCGCTGCATTGGTGATATCAGAGGTCACGTTAGGACATTGGAATTCTTTCTTGAGAAATTCTCGGAACCAAAGCTGCTGCTGAAGTTAAAGTCAAAAAATTATGTCATCTAAAATTCGGGAATGATGATTTCCTGATATGCAAGAGAAACAGTTTGTGTTACATAACATGTGATACTCACAGTACCGAATTTAAATGTATAAAATTTATAATAAATCAGCAGTATTATATTTAATTTGTGTACATTTTATACCTAATTGTATTAAATACAGTAGTGTGTATTGTATTATTTAATTTTTATCATCATTTTAGTTCCAATTTTACTATTATTATCTGTCATTCGCATTACAATTATCTTCATACGTGAGTGGATGGAAGCGCATACTGATCGCGTTGACTCTTCTCCGAGAGTGTACACGGTAGTGGATGGAAAGTTTGATTCAGGTGGGTAAATAACATTTGCATCATAAGGAATCCATTTCGCTTTAGTAGGATACAGTAATCTTGAACAGAATGCACAAGGCAGGCATATGTGTTGAAAAAGAATAGTATTTTGAAAGCGCGTGTGTGGGCTGCGCAAACGTTGAGGGGATCGCCATTGAGGACAGGCGCATCAATGTTAGGGTTGAATTAATTGATAGACCTTATACAATTATGCTCAATAGTTGAGGATTGGCAACAGGTGTGTAAGTAACGTTCAACATCAGTTGGGAAAATGCATCTGTGTTTGAGGTTATTTGTGACATGTTCAATAATTCAGGATTGTTTGTTTTGTTAATGTGTCGTTCTAGTAAGTGATATGGTTGAAATTGATGTGTCTTGAATTTGTACTGTGACGTACTCGCAAGGTTAAAACTGCTCGATCGAGTTTTTTAAGGGAAAGTGTATTTATAGATAACAGTCTCTACTATAAATATGAAATAATAGTGAAAACCAACTCACACAACCAATAAAGAGAATATTTCTGTTACTTTTAGATGTGACTTGATAACGGATAATTATTTTATGTTCACTTGTCCGATTTTCGAATACTGATTGATAGAGCTGATTACGAAAAAAACTGATCATGCGATAATGAAAGATAACAATTTGTTCCTATCACTCGTACATATGTATGCTAACTAAAAATAATTTTTTACTGTCTATAAATATTCCAAGCACATTCTGCATTTATGTACGGCTGTTTATATAGTAAAAATATACGTAAAAATAGAAATTTTTGTTATAAAAACCGCGGTTAGCGTACAAAAAACGCTCGGTAATAATACCAACATTAACCATTGGTTCTGATGCAGATTGAAATCTGCTTTGTCCAAATTTTCGACAAGTTGCTAAAATAAGTTAAAGATTATTTGTGGCAAGTTGGCCGAAGATAGTACTATGAAATGCTGCTTTGAAAATTAAGTTACAAAAGTTACCTGTTATTATTACATTGCGAAAAATTAAACTTGTCAGAGATTAGATGTTAATGTAACGCGAGAAATTGATTTCCTGTTTAGCAATATTGGATTTTATTCACTAAAGAAATTAAATCATGACAAAAAAAAAGTATATAAAATAAGCGTCTTTTTTTAACAACAATGTAATATACTAATACCAGTAAAATGGTAATAAACGTTTACTTATTTGCTTTTCTAGTTGTGCATCTTTCTCTTGTATTATTGATTGTTCAATAAAATGATAATATCACATTATTGTCACTGATAACAGCTTCTTCGTTATTTGTGTTAATGTGAGTGTCTATTTCGGTAATGTTATCGTTTCTAAAGATTGATTAGTGATAATTTTTTTGCAAATATCGCTGATTTTGTGGTTTTTTGTTTTGACGCACTGTTCAGTGTGTTGGTGCTTGTAAAGATTGTTATTGGTGAATTTGTGCAATTTTTTGTTCTATTCTGATTTTCCGTTAGTTTGGCCAATAAGAATGTTATTTTTTTTCCACGGAATATTAATAGTGGCGTCACTTTCGAATTTGGTAGAGATAAATTGAAATTCCAACAACTCGCAATATAATTGCTTCCCCAAAAAATTAAAATTCCAGTCACATGAACTTCTTTTGCTTTCACGATTCCGTTCTTTAAGCGGCCATTAAGTGGGTCAACATCATTGACGGTTGGAATTAATCTTTTGTCAAATATGGTTTTACTTGTATCGGTAGTGTGTAACCCGTTCAGCATTATTAGTAGTGTTACCGAATAATGCTCGCCGTTATTAACGTTAAAAGAACTGTCTTTAAGTGGTGTAAATTTCCCTGAGATTTGGTACACTCCGTTCTCTTGAAGTGGCTGCGTGACTTCAGATGATGCCTTCCTCTATTAGACTGTTTTTCGGACGTGTAGGTGGTAATTTGTAAAACTGATATCCGTCTTCCGCATTGATTCTTGATATGACGGAGCCTTTTAAACGGTTTTGTTGTTATAAGTTCGTCCGCAATAGAAACTATGTATATAATAGCCGCGAGAGTTGCAATCATTTTGTTCAATGGTGGTAATCAGTAATCAGTAATAATGGGGTTGTTGATAATAGATAGCAAAGAGCTTTAAGATGGGAATAATCGCAGTTGTCCTTTATTTATAACTTTGAGGTAGTATTTGAGTTAATAATAAACTATAATTGATTTATTTATACTGTACTTCTTTTTATTGGCGTTTTTCTTAATAATCTGACAAATTTACTGTTAGTGCGGACAATTTGTTGGTTATTTTTGGACAAAGCTATTTACTAATTGAGAAGTGAAGGAGTGAGCTTGATTCGAATTGTATGTCGTGCGCTTATGATTTGGCGAAGGATAGGCGTATAGAAAACGTTCTTGAACAATCGTTGCTTACAAGATAACACGAATGTCACAATATAATTGCTGTAAATGGAGAGATAATTGGAAGCTAAAATTTAGCGTTAAATAACAAATTCAGTATGCAGTGGTTTTACTGGTGATTCGTTTCGAAAGGTTTGCGCACACTATTTCCAAACAGTTAGTGTGCGCGGCAGACGCCGTTTATGAACAATTGACGCTTGGGAGATAGCACACGGCTGCCATAAATGTGTTTCAAGCATAAAAACATTCGATAAAAAAAGGTTTGTTAAATTTTAATAATAAATTTGTTTTCTCAACAACAAAGCAAACTATCCGGTTAAACTTTTTTGCATTCAATAGCAGTTTGTTTACGCTTTCGTAAATGTGTGTATATTTATCATGTGGAACCGGTGTTTAAACAATTTTAAACTTTTAGGTCGTTTAGCTTTTTCGGTAACACAAAACGTTGGCTATATATAAATATTATCATATTACTAGCTGACACACTACAATTTTTGGTGAATATGTTGTACATTAGATGCGCTAAATTCAGTATTAATTTTGCGGTGATTGCATTGCTCGTTACGTCAACATTCGCAAATGTAAGGGGTGGTCGGTGACTTTTGGTACATCAGGAGTACAGTGGACAATCTAATTTGATGCACGTCAATTGTTCCAGAACGTGATCTTTCCCATGATGCGTAGCAAGATATAAACGCGCGCAACTACATGTTCTTCATGATTTGACAAACATGATGGACAACGTAGACCCTCAAGAATACGAAGAATTTGCGGCTGAATACAGAGTAAACAATCACGATGCTAAGGATGGGGAAATTATCCTAGCATACCTTGCACGGAAACAAAAACAGCAAGGTAAGTGAGCAAGCAATGGGGAGAAGAGTTTGAAAACTGTCACTGGCTTTGTGCTATATTGCAAGAGAGGCAGTTGGGGCATTATTAGTTGGGGCAGAGCAGAGTCGTAGCAAAAGTTAAGTTATACATAAACTCGTTTGAAAGGCAAATAAGCAAAATACGATATGTTTGGGTTAAGTAGAGTAGTGTCAGTTACCCACATCCATGGAGTGGTGTTGCACCTCTGTTTTCGAACTTCCAAAAATTATGCTACTTTCCTTGCTGTTATTTGTTTCTTGTAACTCACTCTTCTAACTACCCATTGCTACTTTTATTATTGCTATCTCGTTCATCTCTGTGTGCCATATCTTTCATAGATGGTGAGTGACGTTTACCAATGCTACACCATCTGTTACATCTATTATTCATATTAATATACAAATCTTTTCTCTAATTTCTTTCGCCTTTGACCCTCTCACAATTAGTATCAGTGCCTTTCAAAAGAAAACTGATGGATGATGAGTCATCGTCCAAACGACCAAAAACTGGCCTTGAACTATGGGACTATTGGTTTGACACTCTTACTTCAACGGTGAACATTCATGCTCCCCCTAAACTCTATCCTGAGAGTGCACAAGAACTTGCTGGTCGCTTTCGCAAATCAGGGGTTTTCCTACCATTTAGTGGTAAATCCTCTGTGGATATGCGTCTTGATGAACATCCTACCCCCATGGGCAAGAAGCTTGTCGAACTATTCCGGAAAACCAATAATTTCAACATTCTCATCTCATTTTCTGGTGCTGGCAAGACTCGGGCCATATTTGATGTAGCCATGCAGAATAGAGGAGTCTTCTTAATGTATATTGAATGCAAGGTGGAGGTGGTAGGTGAACCAACCAGCAACCGTAATTTCGCGCAGCTCTACGAAGACATAGAGACAGTCGATGACACCACTGGGCTACAGAATAATGATGGTAAAGCAGAGGCACGCCGTCTTATTTCCTTGGAGTACACTTCCCGGATCTTCTACCTCATTCTGCTCATTAGAAAGATCAAGGACCTTACTCCACGCAGCTACCTACTCTCTCAGCTCAATGGCAGACAGGAGTCTATTGCAGAGATCAAATCATCACTAAAGATAGAAAGTAAAGGAAATTTGGATGAGCTTTTCCGAGTGGCCTCCCATAAGCTGTCGGTAAGGTTCTTTGTTGAATTACTATTACCAAAACAGTTATCTTTTTTATTCTGGACATTTAATAACAAATTTTATTTTATGTATGATAGGATATTTTGCCCCCTGGATCTCAGTTGGCTATTGCAATTGACGAGGCCAGTACTGCCAGCAAACTTTTTTACCCAAAATTCCATAATATCCATGGTAACCCACGTGGCTTGCTAATGCCGATGTTAGAATTTCTCATTCCATCACGTAAGATTCCTGTAGTGATTGCTGGCACTTCATTTACACTTAAACATGGGGATAAAGTTGAGAGTGATGTTGGCAAAACTACAAATGAGAATGTTATTATGGACTTTGAGACACTGACAATTGATAAAGTCAAAGCCTATATCAAACATTATCTCAACCTCTCAGGCTGTGATATCGGAAGAATTGAAGACTGGAAATACCTTGCTGGTCGCCCCCACTTAGCTGCTCGGTTGTTATGTGAAATTGTACAGGGGGAGAATCGTGAGCAAAATGAAACAAAACAGACTGTGTTAGAAAGGGCTATTAAGGAGACAGTAAATGTCATCAGCAAACGTTTGACAGAAGGTCTTTCTTTTCTAACTAAAGATGTAATTGGTAAAAGGGACCCTCTTGCCCTTATTCTCCAAAATATCTTGGAAAATGTCTTTATTTCTTGCCAGTATGCATTTCACACAATTATAAATTTTCTTTTTAGCAAAAACCATGAATAGTTGGCTAACAAATTGTAATATCCAGCTTCTTCTCTGGCATTGGCCATGTAACTGATTATGACGATAAATCGACACGCCTTGTTGAATGTGGGATTACTTCTTTGAGGCAGACACAAAGTGTACGTTATATTCAAGTCAATGAACCTTTGGCAATAAGGGTTGTCAACACTGTGCTTGGTATCGAGTTCAAAAGTCCAGCTACAACACTCACCAATAGACTATTTGCAAAGTTAAATGAACGTGCCAATGCTTCAGACACGTCAAAAGGCAAAGCATGGGAATATCTTATCCTGGCACAAATGCTGACTTACAATGGCAAGAAAGTCGTCGACTTAATCAAACTGTTTTACAATGATCATCAAATATTGCAGGAAAAGCTACACCGAAAACCAAATGGAGATTCTCTTAAGGTCACTGAACTACCAAAATGGACATATACTGCAACCTTCAATGTGGAGTCCTATGGAGATGTAGAAATGCTCTCCCTGCTGTGCAACAAGTCGTATGAAGATGGTGTGGATGTCATCAGTGACTGGCTTGCATCTCCAGAGAATCGAAAGTATATTCTTCAACCTGAAAATGCAATGCGCCCAGATGGACTATACATTGGTCACATTGATGGCCACCATAGTCATTATTGGACCCTGCTATTCAGTGCAAAGTTCTACAGCAATGCAATGTCAGGCCAAGAGATCAATCAGGATAAAAATTCTACAAATTGGAGCTTGGCTTATTATACTAAGGATCTTAGAAAAGCACCTAATTGTCATTTGATTGACAAGCTTGCAGAAGCACGACGACTTTATAAGCATCATGGCTCTCTCCGCATTCATTTTATAATGCCAGGCTTGGCTTCATGCAGTGATGGGTCAGATAGAGGAGGTTGTCGAGTGGAGGACAATGATGTTATCATGTATATTGATAGAACCATGTTGGGAAAGTTGTTCCAATCCTCTCCTGATATTGCAGAATCTATAGAAGTCCTTTTGGAGTAAAATTTTCACTCCCAAGTTTCAAATAAAGTTTTCATGACATTGCAGTTATAAAAAATATTGGCAATTATACATAATTGCCAAATATTTTTGTTGTATTTCTTTAAATAATGAGCTCTAACACTTAACAGAATGAATAGTGAGTGACGTCATACGGTCACTTGTTGCATATTATATGCCCCTTAACGGCAATCAATATCCTGAAAGAAATAAAACTTTTCGGTGCATGGTACAGTACAAGCATTCCTTTTTCTTGTCCAAAAACAACCATACAATCGCGGGTGATATCAATGAGTAATGTGGTGCCAAGATGACCAGTGTGTGCAAATTAGTGCGAGTATCTTCAAACCGATTATTCCATACAGGGTTATATCACATGAAGAAAGTGAATTAATGCATGTATGGTAAAGCGAGAGACAGAGACAGAGAGGAAGAAAGGACCGTTGTGCGCAACATGCATAGCTGCCAGTAATCGTAATCGTAACTATAATAATATTAATAGCAATACAACCCTTCAGAACATTCGGATCCAGATGTATATACGACTAAACTCATCCAGGTTAAAAAAATTCAATTAACATGTTTCTTTTGATCTTTCTATAAATACTTGCGTAACCATATTCCTTTATATTTTATTTATATTTAGAATATGGTTCCCAATTTGACGCCCTTCTCCAAACAAAATAAGTTTGAGTAAAACACTTTGAGAATATTGACATTCGAATTTACTGGCTTTCTTGTTTATATATAAGCCTTTTAAATTCTATAGACCCCCGTCATAACTGCATGATTTTGTGCGTACGTGTGTACGTGTGTGGTATTCTTTTTTCCACGGGAAATTGTTGACTGGTGTGTCTTAAGGCGTTGGTTACACAACGCATGACATCATTCAATTGCTCACAAAGCGAGTTTTTTCGAATTCATTCTTGGGAACCTGGCTGCAGCAAGATTGGATAATACCCTTTCTTTCCCCCTGTAATTCCATACTTAGCACGCACGCATTCCCTTTACTTACTCGCCTCCCTTGTCTCACTTCCAACCACTGCCCATCTTTTCTTCCTATTTCTCTTACATAGTCTATCAGTTTCATACTCGTACTTTTACCCCTCCTCACCACCACTACCACCACTCCTCATCCATCTCACTCGCAACAAACAATAATGCCAAAGAAACAAAAGCAAGATCTCCCCCTTCATAAAGTCATCATGGTCGGCTCTGGCGGCGTTGGCAAGTCGGCGCTTACTTTGCAGTACATGTACGGTGACTTTGTCGAAGAGTATGACCCTACGAAGGCCGACTCGTATAGAAAGAAGGTCACGCTGGATGGTCAAGATTGTCAGATTGACATCTTGGACACTGCCGGGCAAGAAGAATACGCTGCTGTATCCTTTATTATTATAGCCAGTCGTGTTGGGTTAAAAGGAAAAAGTTAGGCAATGTTACGTAGAGCGGTGGTAATCACAGAGACGTTAGTTCAATGGGCAATGGGCAATGGGCAATGGGCAATGGGCAAAGGGCAAAGGGGTGGAGCAGGCTATAAGCGAATGAGCGAATGAGCGAATTAAGATACAACAAGACTCTATGACACTCTCTTTCATCGATCGGCACGACATAAAAGATTACCAATATCATCTCTTGTCCTTGACTCTCTGCATTCCGTACCGTAGATTCGAGATAATTATTATCGTTCAGGTGAAGGCTTTCTCTGCGTCTTCTCTATTTGCGAACACGAATCTTTTTTAAATACACAGGACTTTAGGGAACAGATTTCGCGAGTTCTAGACGATGATAGCGTGAGTAAAAACAATGTAATGACAAGCGTTTCCAATTTTTTATCTTTTTCCTTTATTGTTTTCTCCTCGAAATTTGTTATATAACCAAATTCTCTTGTTCTCTTTTCGTAGGTGCCATTCATCCTCGTCGGTAATAAAGCCGATCTAGCTAATAGTTATCGAAAAGTAACAAAAGATGAAGCTGCAGCCAAGGCAGCCGAATGGGGATGTCCGTACATTGAGACATCGGCGAAAACGCGACTCAACGTAGACGAGGTCTACACCGAGTTAATGAGAAAGATTCGAGCACGCAAAGAAACTCAAGAGAATCCAAGACCAGTAAGGAATAGATGCGTGTGCTTATAAGAACAATAAAGAGGGAGATGCACGATTGTTATTTTTATTGTTCAAGTGAGTTTAGATTTATTCTCTCATTTCATTTTTTTTCCCTCGTGGGGGCAGTAGATGTGTACGATTTTAAAGAAATATTAGTCGAGTGCGTGTATAGAACAGTATTTTGTAATAGTATATCTGTTTTAATTATCTTTTTTTTTTTTACTCGTTTTTTTTTTTCATTTCATATTTTGCTTGTTCGTTCTACTTGTTTTCTTGTTCTTTCCAAATTACCATTTCTGTCACATTGCAATCTGATTTGTGGGGGTTCATTTACAATCTTCTTTGTGATTTACCGTTTATGGGCATGCATATCATTATATGAACTGTGTTACCACGCATGCCATGCACACAATAATCATTTACAAATTCACATTAAATAAATTAAACGAGGCGCGTCCACATTAATTAACGGCCATGTGGAGAAGGGAGCTTACAATGTAACTTGTCAAATAAAATAGACATTCAAAATTACAAGGGTCGAAATTTGAAATATGCGTGTGTGTAATTATCGGGAAATTGTAAATGAATAACGAAATTGACGGAAGCAAACATTAAATTGTAGATTGTACTGATCATTGCAATTGGCTTGAAATTGGGAAACAATTTTCCATGAGCTTTTGCACTAATTATTTTACCTAAAGAAAACAAAGTCCCTGCAATTCTCCTGCAATTCTCCTGCAATTCTCGCATTTGTTGGACATGTCTGGCCATGATCAATGTCGATTTGCCGCCTATCAAACCCTGTGCAACAAAGACTAAACAACGCAACCAACGCTTCTTATATACGTGTCATACTTACCTAATTAGTTGTCGTTTTGCGCATACAGGATAAGGGTAATAAAGGCATTGTTTAATCACTTTGGTCGATTAACGTCAATCTTGATACTTAGAATTCTATTGCTAAATTTCTCCATCTTATTCATGAATAGATGAACGAGACCTAAGTTGCAGCGTTATGCCGGCCGAAATCACTTTATTCGCTTTGGTTACAGCATGTCCGCATACCCTACCAAATATGTGAAGCATATTAATATATACGGTTCGAATTAACTGCATGTCCGTTGATATGTTGACGTTGTTCTTGGTATGACTAAACCGATGGGAAGGAGACCGATTACATTATGATTATGGAGATTAAAAAGACAGAGCAACACGCTTTTACTTCTTACATTCTCTGGAAAATTCGTTCATTTGATACTCACTGACCGCATTAACACGTGAGTGTAATTGCGGCTGTCTATATCCACAGTAGATAGTTAAACTACATTCTACACGCACGTGCATTATAATACAATTTTAGCCAGCTATGTCGACAGAATGTGAATCAACAAGTATTGTAAATTTCACCCTCTTCCCGAGTTTCCACTTTACGTGAAAGTCTACTACATTGTTATTAAGCCATTCTCTTCTTTATAATAGAGATGCGTGTTTTTTAAAAAACACGGAATGTTTCACTGCATGTACTCACAGTTACAATATGCTAGTACATTAACCTACTTGCGAAGCCCACACGAAGGAACAGAGTCCAAAAGAATTTCTACTCTGAATGAAGACTACGCACTCTTTCTACCATTTAGTAATGAAACAATTGCATTTATAGTTTGATAATAGTATTTTATATATGCGTTGTATTCCTTTGTCCATATTACAAAACTAGTATAACAATTATTTCTATTACATTGTATATTTATTATACAGTGAACCAAAAGTCGAGACTTAAATTCAGAAGAAAAAAAGAAACTAAAAAAGTTCAGTCTGCCATTATGCAAACTTCAAGTCTCTTTGCGATTTCTTATTTAGTTGACTCTCGGATAATTATGAAGTGATAATTGGCCGACTACGATTCTGCCCCTAACCCTAATAATATAATCGTCGCTCTTGTATTCTCCTTTTTTTCTCGTTGCCAGTCTTGACTGTGATTGTTTTTTTCTATCTTGTACGCAAAAAGCAACGCAAAGGGTATCTCTGTTTCGAGTTGAAGCTTTTTTCCCAAAGCTTTGAACTCTACCTTTGCGTTCTCAAAATCTAGTCAAGATTGTTGAAATCCCAATCTCCAAAACCTCTAGCCATCGTGAAAGATCATCCGTAGCCTTTTTCAAGTCTTCGTGCACTTCGTTCACTCCGCGATATTTATCCATCCTGATGGCATCAATTTCTGGACCAGCATCTAAAATAGAAGTTGGCGAGATCGAAGGAGGCGTAGATGTCGAGATAAACTTTGACACTGGCGATGGAAGAAGATGACGATTCGAGTTCTCGTCTTCTGCAGAATGCGGCTATAGAGCAAACATAGGCCATGGATAATAATAATACACGTTGAACGTATGGTGGGATAAATATATAACAATAGATTAATGTTTCACGTCAGTCAGTATAACCGAAATAAAAAACTAATTGATTATCAAAACACTTCGGCTAGCTTACCCCAGGATGCGGTGAATCTCTGAACGATACATTGCTCACACTTGTGCTTCGCTGCCGCGATGGCATATACCTGTGCATACCATCAACATCACCATTTCTATTCACCAAATCATCGTTTGGCCTATTCATGATATTAGTTACCGATCTTGCTCGCTTGGGGATAAGAACTGTCTTCGAAGGCGGAATGTGCCGAAGTACGGCTGAAGTGGAAGACTCCTGGGTATCATATGTGTGTCTCATCACTATATGCGGCCGAGTTTTCGTGGGTGTCGAGGAAGAATATTGGGCGTTTGTGTGGATAGAAGTTGTCACATGGGTAGTTACGGAGGTTGACGACGACGATGACGACGACGCCGATGGTGATGGAATAGATACTGGGTTGGACGAGTCTTATGGGTTGCGTTAAGCAGAAGAAAAAAAAAGTTAGTTAAATATAGCAAGTTCAAAAAAGGCCAAACTGTTTATACAGGCACACACGTATTTACCATCATCTCCAGGTTTTAAATTATGATTGACTGCAAAATAACCGCCCTCTCTTCTTGAACTTTTCGTATCACCAATCGAAGTAGGGGATAACATTCCCGCAACAGCCTTACTATTCTGTTTCGCTTTTACATTTCCTTCCTTTTCTTCTTCATTTGTGGATATCATCAAACGAGGTGGCTTCGATATATCATTATCATCTTGCATCTTGGGAGGTGACTCTGATAGCGGCGAACCCACTTCTATTAAAGATGCCCTATTGCTAGATTTACCTTCGGATGTGGATTGCGAGTTTGTAGATGTCATGCTCATTGCTCTTCCTTGATCATTATTAGGCGCCGAGTCTGATGTCGAAAAAGACCTGGACTTTGGAGATTTAGATGAAACGCTATTGTCTGGTGATAAATTAATCGATGGCATCGAAGTAGATATGCTGAAATAAGATGATGTTTCGACTGTATGTGAACTCTCTTCTGATCGATCAAACAGTTGCAATAACGGTAGCGGTCGTGCAGTGGGTGTGAGAAAAGGTTTTTGGTGCACATTCAGGTGGCGAGCATTTGCTTCTCTTGCTAGGACGGTTTTATCCGGATCACTTCCGCCCGTAAGCATTGGGTCTATATCCGAATTGTCATCTTGTACACTGCTGTGTTCGTCTATTTCTATTACCGGTGACAATGGATCGGAAGACAAATTCTGAATTGCACTTGCAGATTGGGATCTACGATGATTGCTGCGTACGGTCTGGTATTGGTAGGATATAACGTATATGAAATTGAGATGGATATGTAATATGGGTAGTAATATGGGTAGACAACCTTTTTAAATATTAACTTACATCAAATATCCAGTCATTCTCATCTTTATGCTCTTCGTCACGATCATACGAGTCACTACTACTACTACAAAAAGAAACAAGACACGGAGTTTAGATAGAACGATTCGCAATAAATTATCATGCAAGTCAATTCTCATATTATTACCTTGACGGCGTATTGAATGGATCAGAGAAGGAATGCCGATGTCCAGTAACTTGTCTCCAGCTTTCATGCCGTGTGATAAGTTCACGGAGAATGCCAGTTTGTTGCTTCGAAATCGATTTAATAAACTTCAACTTGATCAAATCGTCTGCAGTCATGCGCTATAGATACAAATGACAAATTAGTTGCGTCAATTGTCGCTTAACTCTCAGAGAAGAAATTTCTCAACATCTAAATAAATACATTCTCGTACCTCATCGGGAACTTCATTTAGGCATGCGGCAACAAATTCCTTCATAAGATTCGAAAAGTCACCTTCCAACCGTGGAGGAGGAGACTTTGGAATTAGTTGAATAGCTCTCATGGCACTTAGATCGGCCAATGGAGGGTTTCCTGTAGCTATTTCGTATACGGTAATACCCAACGACCATATATCAGCCTAGCAGGAGTAAAAGGTTGAGATAATGCAGAATACAGAATTTCCAAACAACAACATCCTTGGTGTTTTTACTATACTATATATATATATTTTTACATAACTCACCTTTGTGTCATAGGCAGCACCTTCTTTAATGACTTCTGGCGCCATCCAATATGGAGTACCAACAAAAGATGTCCGCTTGGATGATGTAGCAGTTAATTGTCCCGCCACACCAAAATCACACAGTTGCACTTTTCCCTCGGCCGTCAACAGAATGTTCGCGGCTATTGAAAAGAAGACAAGGATTATGAGAATCATCCCCCAAAAAGATTGAAAGGTGCGCACAGACTAAAAAAGTTGTTGATAGACCTACCTTTTATGTCTCTATGAATTATTTTACACTTGTGAAGATAACTTAATGCTTGCAACACTTCCCTAGTTATTATACAGATATATCTCTCTTCTATTTTACCAGCCTTCATCTATAGAAACAGAAACGAAATCAGTCAGAAATAAAACACATTCGATTCTTTTTCTTCTCTGACTTTTCCATGTCTCAATCCCGATATATAGTAAATGGATGTTCTATATCTCACTCACTGGTCACAAACACATACCAAAGCCCTTATGCTCCCACCCGCAGCATACTCCATAACAATCCACAATTTAGTTCCATGAAGATAACTACCATAGTATCTGGTTATATTCTGCGATTCGCCATGCTTCAACTGAGATAATAAATTTATTTCTTTTCTAATATCTGCGACATCGTCCTCTTCTGTGTCAAGATCTAATACTTTTATAGCCACTACTTGCTTCGTCTCATTATTTATGCTATAGTAATGTTTACAAGACAAGAAGAAACAGTTTACGAGTTATTCTGCCGTTCTTATTCTATACAAACAAGATCGTCTCTTCTTTTTTCAACGGTATAATATACCCTTTATATACAGCCCCATATGCACCACGACCGACGAGTTCTTGTTTCGTAAAAAGTTCTTTGGCTTTTGGTCTGGCCAGCGAACGTGGTTCCTGCATATGACCAGACATGGGGGTGGGGTGGGGGTTGTTGTCCGAGTTATGTTTATGTTATTTACAACAAGTCGAATAATAATAAAAAACGAAAAAGGTCAATCGTTGTTTACCAGCAAGTACTTGGACTATCCTCCAATCGGGAAATTTTCAAAGTACGAAGTGAAACCAAAAAAATATATAGTGTAGCGGGATGAACCCTTATTTGGGCATATTGCAAAAAATGATTTGAAAGCAAAAAAGAAAAAAAAAAAACTCCCCAACTATATGCGGTTGACAGGTTTTAAAAAGATACTCCGAACGGTGAGGGGATGGATGAGATATGGCACAGTCACTATTTACCTGATAGTAATAGTCGATATAGTAATTCTCTGCGTATTAGTATGGGTTGGAAAAAGATTATTTGTAAAGATGAGATAAAATGTATCCATAATATTTGTGTTACATGATTAACATACCCGCAGTAATACTTAGCATTAGTGATGGGGAACGTAAATTCCTCCGCGATGGATTACTATCTGCAAATATGCTTGAGTATTGATAGCTAGAAACCGATTATCAAGAAAAACTTATGGCAGTGACGACAAAGATGGAAAGCATGCTTTGCGCCATTGCAAAAAATAGATGATTGTAAGCCTACACATATACGAATGGATACTTCATTGGGTTATGAAACACAGAAATATATCCAGCGGAAGTTCATGGAGTTCGGACTCTATTTACATAATATTTCTTCCAACAAAAGGCGCGCAGGAAAGATAGGAGAATACGATATAGCTGTATAGGACCTATCTTTCGTTTATGTAACTACATGGGATGATCTTAGATTGAAAAAAGACAAACTGCCATCTTCGAGCACAAAACTAGAAAAATTACGTGTTGACAAAGCTATTTTTAACAAGTTCTTACCTGATGAATTTGATATAATTGTTATTCCATCTTTAAGGCTTTGAGCATGGTGAACAGAAAATAACAAGGAAAACGGTCAGAAAATCCATTGTCGGTCGCGTTACAAGTTTTGACAACGATTGGTTTCGAGAAAGAAATCCATTGTGATAATTCAAAACGAGGCTTATACATTAAAGATATGTAGCTGAGGATAAATTGCAAGAATTGCGATATAAGATCTTACATTAGTCAGCGCATTCCCACTTGAAAGTTGTCGTCGATTGAATTGACTAAATTTTTATGTATTTTTTGTTTCGCATAACCGTCAAACTAAATCATACAGAAATAAATCAGACATAAAAGATATGTTGTAAAGCAAAATGACACTTACTTTGATAAACAGTTTATTATCGATTCTTTCGGCTTGAAAAACGGTGTGAATGGCTTCAAGAACTTTCCAGTTTTAATTGGTGGTAGGTCTATTTCTATAACGACTATATTCCCAGAAACTTTTTCTTTCGCTCGTCTAAGTTCTTTTTCGACTTGAGTGATAACCTAAAATAAGTAGTCATGATTCATACTTTTGATTCTGCGTTTTTATGAGATTTTGAATTACGCTTTTAGGACAGCATATTCTGGAAGTACAAGTTTTTGTGAACGGAATAGTTAAAGATAGCAATATACTATCAATAAACTCACCCGAAAGCTTGGCTGCCATTATGAAATACTTACTAAAGAAAAAAATTTACGTGATTTACAAGTCACCCATGTTACGTGTAATACATCAATCATACGGCGATTACGTCTATTTTGAAACTCAACAACCTTACATTTTTTATAATAAGAAAACAATTCTAGAAATTTCTAGCTGAAGTGTATAATTATTCTATATTATAATGTTAATACTATTTTCAGATATTTCTAATTTCTGAGTTTGGGACCTGTCTCAGTTCCGAACCCAGAACTCAGTCTAGAACTCAGCTGTCTCGGTGACAGGTTCCCAGCTGAGGTACAACAAAGATATTCACCAAGTCGTTACGGGATTTACGGTCGTTCTGAGATTGTGATTCGTTAACAAATTGATGATCTGCTTCTTCACGTTGCATGCATAAAACTAAATAGGTTCAAGTTAATCAGATGCATGAACTTCAGCTCATACAATATTCATTAGCAGCTCAAACTTATGAAGCTAATTGTTGAAATACAAAGCCGCAGTTTGGTGATGTATTCCTTACATAATGTATAAAGACGACAGAGATTTTCGAATAAAAATTTTTTCATATATTTTATTAATAGACTTCAAGGCTTGACGATAATATAATAATAGGTTAGAGAATATTCTTTTATGAACGGCTCGGATAATTCCCAAGATGTCGCATACTAGCTAGGAGTGAAAAAGTAATTCAAATAGGCATATAAGAGAAAGCATGTAACAGATAGAAACGGTTCACCCGGCCGAGTCGCAACGATCGTATCAGTCAGACATTAGTGCATGAAGTGTCACGCCGTTAATATTAATAGAATGTCCGTTGCGGATTGTAAAACGGATAATGCTTCCTTATATAATACGATCTCCACATTAGAGGTTAGTTTCTGAATAGTGACTAGCCCAGAATGGAAGTCTTTTTAATACCAAATTCGAACAAGGTCATGAGAACAGTTTTTTTTCGCTTGAAGAAATTCAAATAACAATCGGCCTTCAGACCACGTGGCAAGGTCTGGTATCACTGTTACGTTGGTTATCTTTGCCTTAATACTAATAATGAGATGTTGGAGTTTCATTAGTTACACCTAAATAATGAGATGTTGGACCACTGCCGATTATTTACTTTTACAAGCGCACATGTGCCGTCGTTTTAAACTTTTCGATATTCAATTGTGAAACGTTTCTCTATGCCGATCGAATTCATAAAAATGAGCAATTCAAACTTTTGCCTTTTTGCGACTATGTTCAGCAGTATGCACGAGCACATCAACACTCAATTACACGCCCAACCACTAGACGCTTATGATAATTTTTATTTAAATACCATCCACCATATTCTAGAAAGGAAACGGTTGAGAAAACCACCATGATCTTCCGCTCTGCAGTACCTGATATCGAAATCCCATCATTGGGTGTCTACCAATACGCAACGCGAAACGTAAACGGAATTGATGATAACAAGCCAGTATATATCGATGCTGTGACTGGTGCCGAGTTGACATTTGGTGCATTAAAGAGAGACTCAAAGAGACTGGCAGCTGGATTACAGGATAAGCTCGATTTGAAGAAGGGCGGTGTGGTAGCTATACTATCACCTAATCAGGTAAATGACAATTTCAGATGTTAAAGGATGGATGGGGTTATCTGGTGAGGAAAACGCTTAATGTTTATAATATCATCAGGTCGACTATGCCGTAGTCTTCTTTGGCGTAATTGCAGCTGGTAAGTTAAATATTTACCAAACAGACAGTTTCTTATCGCGAGACATCTGTCTTCACATATCTATTCAAAATTCATTATTCTCCAGGTGGCATCCCAACATTGGCAAGTCCTCAGCAAACGCCGAAAGACTTTCAAGCTCAACTCTACGATTCAACCGCCTCAATCATAATTGTCCATCCGCTCATCTTGGCTACTGCTCTCGAAACAGCAAAAAACTGCAAGTTTCCTCTGTCAAAGATTTTTCTTTTCGGTGGAAAAGAAATAGACGGCATTAGACCATACACGGATCTATTGGGAGACCGAGAAGCCGAACCGGTTGTGTTTACGGAAAAAGAGCTTAAGGAACAGCCGGCGTTTTTGTGTTATAGTTCAGGGACAACTGGGCGGCAGAAGGGAGTTATGACAACACATTACAACGCAGTTGCTAACTTTGAACAGTACAAGGCTGTTGAGGAAATAAAAATGCATTCGGGTTTAGTTTTACTGGGGTTTTTGGTAAGTTTTTGGACTGAAATCACGGATTGACTTTGGGGTTTCAGCTAACTTTGTTTCGCTTCACGCTATTTTATGCAGCCCTTTTTCCATATATACGGATTGAATGCCTTTGTCAACACGTTTCTTTCACTAGTAAGTGAACAGTTTGTCTCTCGGCATGTCATTTCCCCTCTCTCCCTCACAGTAAAATTTTTTTTGCCTTTACACTGAATTCCAGGGCGCTACCGTTGTGGTCATCCCAAAGTTCGATCTAACGCTCTTTTGCACAGTCATCCAAAAATACAAAGTCAACATAGCTCACATTGTTCCGCCTATTGTATTATTGTTGACAAAGAGTCCGGTCGCAAGGACTTTTGACTTTTCGAGTGTGCAAGTATTTATAAGTGGTGCTGCACCGTTGAGCGAGTCCTTGGCAAACGAGTTTTATGATATCTATAAAGTACCTATAAAGCAAGGATATGGTACGCTCCCGTATGCATGTTGTTCTTTGAACATCAATGTGATACTTTCTCTGATCTTTCAACTGTCACGTGTAGGTTTGACTGAGACATCACCGGTTACTCATCTTGGTAGCGGCTCAGATCCAATCTTTGGTAAGTATTCTAATACAAAGAGAAGAAGAAATGGGTTGCATGTAGAAATTGGAATCTAATCAATATCGCATATATGTATTCAGGTTCAGTTGGGAAGCTTTGTCCGAACCTTGAGGCAAAGATTATATCCGAAGATGGCAAAGGTAAATGCATGCTACAATTTCCATTCCCCCCCTCTTCTCTTTACTAAGAATACTCGTCTGGTTTATTCTAGAGCTCGGATATAACAAACCTGGAGAATTATGCCTTCGTGGACCCAATATCATGAAGGTATGTATGAGCGCCATCGAATGTAGTGCTACGAAATGAGAAGAAACAAGCTGTCTTGACAAGTGTACTCATAAAATACATGCTTTGATTGTTAGGGTTATTGGAAAAACAAGGAGGCGACAGACGCGTGTTTTGACAGCGAAGGATTCTTTCATACTGGCGATATTGCGATCGTTGCAAGTATTACTTCTAAAATATCTTTTTCTGCTGCCAATTGTTTATGTTAATACTAATTAGATGTTGTCTTTTCCTCTTTATCGCGTCGACAGGATGAGAATGGTAGGTTGAAAATTTTGTACATTTTTTTTTGTCTCTCAGTTAATTATCAATAGACTCACAATTCCTCTCTTCTTTCGGTTAGGAAATTTCTTTATCATTGACCGCTTAAAAGAACTAATCAAATACAAAGGCTTCCAGGTACCTTTTCGCTTCTGTTTACTTTCTTCAGCCCTAATCGCGCTGGCTATATATAATAAACAGTTTCTCACTCATCCGATCTATCCAGGTTGCCCCAGCCGAGCTTGAAGCCCTTCTTTTAACTCATAAAAGCATAGCTGATGCAGCCGTTATTGGTGTTTGGTCATACTCGGAAGCGACAGAGTATCCTATTGCATACGTTCAAGTCAAACCAGGCATCGAACAGACCGATGAACTCAAGAGAGATATTCAAAAGTATGTTGCAGATAATGCTGCACCATACAAGAAGCTGCGTGGAGGTGTCGTTTTTATTGATCAAGTGCCGAAGAGCGCGTCAGGAAAAATCTTGAGAAAATTGTTGAGGAGCAAGAGCCAGTATAAATTATAGGACTAAAGGGCTGTAATAAGGACCGATTGATGAAAATGGTTTATTTATTATCTGGATTTAATTACAAACGTATCTCACAAACTCTTGTCTTTAGTTCTGCTAGTACTTTAATCTAATTAGGGCATAATGCAACAAAGTGATGGTTAATGTGGCTGAGAAGACATTAAGAGGCATTACTTTAATGGACTTCTTTAGCTCAGGTAGAACAAATGGACTAATTTTTAGTTGCATTTTCAAGCCCCTTTAATAATAATACTAAATATGACTAACATTAAATTTGGTTGAGACTTGAGATATAATATGTTCCAAGTATTGAAAACTTTCCCATTGTCATAAAATGAGCTTTGTTTACTCTAGTTGTCACACAATCTACCGCTGTTTCGGTTTGAAACTACCATCACACGGGATTTAGTGTGTTCCATATAAATTGGTACCTCTCTGAGTGCTAGTAAATTATTGCCGGATGCAAAACTTACTATTAAATTAAAGTTCTTCTTTCGCCAATAAATTTTATGTAGTGTTGAAACCAATTGATCGTATTTATGAAAAAATGACATAGAATTTTTATTACATAGTCAACCTCCCTCGATAATTGATAAGTCGGACCAGATTTGGCTTAAGTCGGACAAAATTTTCTAAAAATTCGATATGTGATAAACGTATAAAATCGCGATAAATTGTAAGTCGGGTAATATAATTGATTATCCAATGATTTTTGTGATCTTAGACAATATTGCACTACTACGCTATTTGTGTATTGTTTGATTATCTTATTCAACGTGGAGTTTTTGGTGGCGAGAGAACATAGGAAATTGGGAAGGAATCGGAAGCGGCTAAGGTCGAAGGGGGCATATAACATTTAGATATCTAGTTGTCATTAAATATTTGATATTCGCTTATTGCTTATGTTTTAAATAAAAGTACCTTTTTTATTAAAAATTATGAAATTCAATAAGTCGGATCTCTCGATAAATCGGACAAAATCTCCGCCCTGACGAGTCCGACTTATCAAGGTTGACTATGTATTTTGAGGCCGCGTAATGTTTTACCCTTAATAATTTTTTAATCGTCAGCCATATGATTTGCATAATTTGTATCGTTATCAACATATAATCAATCGGCTTCAAAAATATGTAAAATTTATGACAGTCTTCTACAAAAACGTGGGCGAAAAAGGTTTGAATAATATACGTTTTAATAGTAAATTTGCATGAATTTGATAGTGTAAGTGTACCATAATTAGTCATGTCTTACGCCTGCCTGGTAATTTGAGCTGGAGAATAATAAATTTGAAAGCCAACATGCTGTATCAAATATAAAGAAAAAATCGCTTTTCCCCTTATTTCCGTTTTCCCTTTCCGTATCAATATTCCCTGCTTTTTGTTCACACTTTGAGTTTATAGTGGTGATCCTATTAAGAAAGGCGAGACATAACATGTTTAATACCAATGAGAATGGTTCAAACAACTTACCGACTAACAATCAAGGAGATCGTTCCCTGATTTTTCTATAGCATCTAACGCATTGATGGTAAGTATGATAGCAGTATGACAATTTTTTTTCCGATGGAGTTGACTATAATGTAATTGTTACAAATTTTGAATCGTGTTTATTTCGCGTTTTGGGTTACTGATATTAAATATCGATAATATCTACTCCCTAACTAAATGCGGTAGGATATCTCTCTAATTTTAAAACCGGCAGAAAGATTTTGACTGACTTATCGACTTATGAAACTGATTTATGTAAGATGTACCGTTAGAACCTTTAATGAATGCTACCTGTGTGGAGCGTGAACGATTTGTGCTCAATTGCAACTGTAACGTTAATACTATCCCCATCACAAGATAATCTCATCTTTAATTAGCCCTAACTAGATATTGTTTGTATTTTTTCAGCAAATCTCTTGCTTCGCCCTTGCGAGCATTATTGTAGACCATTCCGAAAATATTACAAGTATCGCATAATATAAGCATTGATTAGTGTCATAACTTGCGGAATACATCATATTTTAACAATTTCAACGTGCTTTCATTTCCAAGATCTGTAATAAAATGTGATAGACCGATTTGTAACTTGTTTCGGCTGGCAAGATTGAATAATTCGGTTGACGTTTCTACCAAGACTTGGTAGTCCATGAATTTCTCGAAAAATTCTTCACGCTTGTAGAACGTTTTCCAAACGAGTGTAACCAATTTCTAACATATTGATTTCAGTAATAAAGTGTTTTCTTATTAGTGCGCATTTTTTTAAACGTCAACTGGTACTTGTTACGGTTCCAAGGATTTGGCGGTAAATTAGTTTCTTTTTCAGTCACTAAATTCCCTTGGGAATGCAAGGACACAATGATGAATGGGAACGATATGCGAACGTGAATCCTTTCCAACAGAATTTATTATTACGTCCAGTTTTAGCGGTGGTGAGTGAGATTTTGACGCTTATCTTTTTGTTCCCGATGTTGTAGATGTTACACGTACACGGATTTCGAGCAAGCTGATATTTGGGAAGGTATAAGTCAAGCGTCTGAGGAAAAGGCATAAACAACTACCAAAAAAACTAAGAAAATAAGCTAAAACCGTCATACTAAAATGCATACTTTGAGCCGATGATATTATTTTAATGTTAAAGAACGGTTTGCTGAAGAGTTAGTAAGATGCACAGACGATAGTGATGGAACACCCTAGTATGTGCATACTTTCAAATTTTACTGTCTTTACTGAAGGATATTGTGTATTAACGTAATTGTAGTCAACAACATAAATTATGGGTGTTTTTTTGGGCATTATAGTCAATAATTCAGACACTTTTATCCGACACTTTTATGGTCGTACAGCATATTCTGAATATGGTTTGATCT